GCTCTCTCTCTCTCTCTCTGTGGAGCGTGTTTGATTTTTTCATGCCACGTCATAATGTCCTATTGTCTGTAAATGTTCGAAGGGATAGACAATAGCGGGCACGACCGACTACGGGTGACTACATCCCGGGTGCGGGCGGACAATGATTTTCTTGCGGGTGCGGGTGGGTCTGGGTGAACCTTTTTTACAGGTGGCGGGCGGGTTGGGCGTGGGCGGGAAAATTCAAAAAAATGCTTGGGTGGGTTGGATCAGCTTCAAACCTTTTTTTTCTTTTTTCTTTAAGGGTTGCATGTACTAAGAAAATTTTGGGTGGGTTGGGTGAAGTGGCATTTCAAAAAAAAAATGCTCATCTCTGATGGAGAGGTCGACATTGTTGAAATTGTGGATCGCAGAGAGATGCCAGTTCCAAGACTGACCGGCAGGGGACGTCCTCCAAAATCAAAGCTGCAGTACCAAGTTCCGTTCAGACATCACACTGACCCAAAGGAGGATAGGTGGTTCACAAGGGAGGAACTGATGCAGACCGCTCCACAGGTTGTCTCTCACTATGAGAAGTCTCTGCAGAAAGGAAAGCGCCAGATTATCGAAGATTGAACTTCTCAGAGGACTAGCGAAGTATGGAGGAGGGAATGCGAGGCATAGGCCTCGATAATCCCTACTGGGCCCCTATTTGCAACAGGTCGGCCGCCCTAAGTGAAGGCAGGCCCAACAAACGACAAGAGGCCTATTTTGGTCTACTTCGCAACTGGGGAAAATTCAGGCAGTTGCGGAGCGCCAATTGGTTGAAGGCGCCCAGGCCCTGGCCTCCTTTATCGACTGTATCTAAGTCAGGCCCTGGGCGAGATACGCAACATAGAGTCATAGACCCAACTCAGAGAGCGGGCAGTTGGGCACGGGTAACTGTCGGTGGCCCTAGGCCTGATTCGTTTGGTCTGACCCTCAGCCTCCCTGGGCCTACCGGAAACGGGCCCAGCGCAGCCAGGCTGCACGCAAGCAGGCTGGCTACTTCCATTTAGGAAAGGGCCAGCCTACGCATTCGGCATTCGGGCACGGGCTGCTTTGTGCGCAAGCGCTGCTGCGCTATCGCTGGCCAGGCTCACGCGCTCACGGGCAAGCTGGAAGGAGCAGGCAGTCATAGCCGAGCTGCGCTGCTGTATGCTGGATGGGGCGCACGCCGCATGGTGGTCCTTGGGTGCATGTGGCATCTGTGAGTTGGGGAACGAGGTTGTGAGTGATACGAGAGACATACCTGGTGCTTGAAGTGTACGGCATTGACCGAGATCTGCTCGTACTTCAGGGAGCTGTTGACGTCATCAGCAGCATTGTAGTCTAGGCTAGATAGGATCTGTGAGGACCCCGGCCTCAATAGTCTCATTCGTAATATCAGCCTTGGTTACTGGGCCCGTTTAAAAAAAAAAAAAAAAAAAAAAAAAAAAAAAAAAGGCTAGATAGGATCTGCCATTCGTAGTCTGGGCGCCGAGAGCCAGATAGGATATCAACATTTGTTCTTCGTTGACGATGATGAGACTATTCCAGCATTGTCAATCATGAGCTTTTGCTGTGCTCTTATCAAATTGGTGAAACTCGTGATGCAATTCTGCTATTGGTTCGAGACCACGACTATCTGGTCTCATGTGTATGATGCTGTTTGATTTCTGAAGTTCGCTATTGCTCATCTTCCTTGCAGTATGTGCTACCCGTCAGTTTTTTCCTTTTTTCGCTTTTAACCTGTCATTCTTCTTCTTCTTTTTTTTCTTATTTTTTTCGTAAACACGGAACAATGGCTTTATAAAAGCTGGGAACCGCTGGCACCTCACAAAATTAGGTGGCCCCTTACAAAATTAGGTGGGGCCCTCAGTGGGCAAGGCATCATCGGCGAAGCACATCGAGGGCACCACTAGATTTTTTCCCACAGCCAACTCCATAACCCTAACTACTGAAAAGTCAAGGCATCAAAAACCTAAGTTCATCACCAAGAACTCTAATCACAACAGTCGTGACAACCCTAATTTACTCAAATTTTCAGTGCCTTTCTTTTCTTCTTTTTTTTTGGGAAAACTAGCGCACAGTCAAGGTTTTCAGTTTGAATGCGTTTCGGTCATCGTTTTTCGGAAATTTTGCTCCAAAGCGAGGAAAATCGTGAATGTATCCAGCCCAACTTTAGGGTTGGGTGGGGATGTATTGTATTCAAGCGATGCCTGGCTTGGCTGCTTCTGTCAATTACAAGTGTTCTCTTCGGCTAGGTATGATGATGCTTGTAGCTCCCTTTGTCTGCACGTGAGTTGCAGTTTTGCTTTAAATTCTTGGTGTGATTTTCTTGTGGTTTCGTTTAGGTAGCGGTGTACTCAAACTTCGCTGCTGTAAAAAAAAAAAAA